GTTTATTAACAGTGTAACTTGAACTTGACCAGCTCATTTTAAAGACACCCTGATGGGTTGAAGTTATGTGGGCGCTGTAACCAGAAGTTCAATGAATGTTTTCTGTTCCTTCCTGAAAATCTTTGGAAGTAAACTGAAAAGTTTACTTTAATCATGTATACATCTATAAATTATAAGTGCATTAGGTACAGATAAACATTTAAGGGGTTTTTTTTTAGTCTTTATAATTGAAGATCAAGACCTATTCCCAGCACCCAATTTGGCCAAAGATTACTTAGATTTAGCTTAGTTTCTATTATGGCAATGTATACTACTTAGTACTAGTGTGGTGTGCTAGAGATTTCCATTGTCTCTACTCTTGTCTTTGATGTTCTAATTCTAGTTGTCTAGGGAAGAGTTTGTATGGTGAAGTTTTATTGGGAGGTGCAATCCTGTGTCAGAAAAAGTGAAAGAAACATCAAAGTGCAGCAGAAAAGTGAGAAATTAAGTGCTAAGTTGTTTGTTATGGACTTCTAATTTCATATGGTTTCATCTTGTTGTTTTGTTTTAGTTTTTAGACAGAGTCTTGCTACACAGCACAGATTGGTCTTAAACTCACTATTTAGCCCATGCTAGCCTTGAACTTACAAGCCTGTGGTTAAAGGTTTCAGACCATCACTCCAACTCCTTCTTGTTTCACTGCTCCTATTAAAGTTTGCTCCAAGGGACATTCACTCCTCCCCCTCATTTATGAGTTATATTACTGATCCTTCCAAGACCTTCTGGCTAGTCTCTAGGGGAGTCAGATTCTGTGCCTCACAGGTCAATATTTCATTTGATTCTGGAAATAGGAGGACTGGTTCATGCTTAGAAAATGGAGCACTGTGGTTCCTGTTTGCTCAGGAGCAAAGAGGCTTTGCCCAAAACTTAACCCTCTCACTGGAAGCACATGAGAAAGTCGACACTGGTAGAAAATGAAGTGATCACAGTTGTAGCTGAGGACCTTCTGTGAGCAGACGGAACTGGAAGGCCCAGGGAGCAGAGGCAATTGGGTGAGCCACAAAAACTGGGCCACTTACAACCCACCGCTTAGGCCCCTCAGATCCATGCACACTCTCTTGATATCCAGATTGCATAAGGGAATAAGATACTGCCAATACGATGCAGAGCAAGGTGCCATTAATAAGAGCATCGGTAAGATGCTTTCCTCCCAAGAGAAGAGGTGGCAGTCTGGTATGTCATGTGGTCATCTGTTGGATTATCCTAAAATGGCTCACAAAGCATTAACAACTCACAGTCCTAATAGTTTGGCATCAATCACTCCTCTTCCATCCACTTTAAATTTATTCTTAGCTATCTCATTTTGGCTGGTCTGCATTACTTTGTCCAGTGCTTTATTCCTTAGAAGTCCCAGTCCTTACCGGACTCTGACTGGGCACAGACATTCTAAACAATTCCTGCCAGATGCCTCTGGGTCTCAAACCTTCACTGCCACTGCACTGGAGCAAATTGTCCCCAAGCTGGATCCTTAGTTTAGACTTCCAAGCTATTCTACCATTCAGTCAAGGCAGCTACTTCTTGGTACTAATGTATAGTGTAAGACAAGTGGATGCTGTGCTTCACTGTTTAACCTCCTTTGACATAAAATACATTTCTTTTCCCGAGGAGATATTATGTGTGATACTAGGCCAGTAGTGGGATATTGTGACAGGGGTCTATGAGTGGTCTGTTCACTAGATTGATGAAAGCCTCTGCTGCGTGGATGGACTCTTAGTGAGTTAATATGAGGAATAAAAATCCATTTACTTGTGCCCTCCTCCCCCCTAAGTCCATCAATGAATTACCCTCCCCCGTAACTTCCCCCAAAACATTATTTTACTGTTTTGTTTTCCTGTTTCTTCATCAAGAAGCCAAAATAGTCATCACTGCCCCATAAATTAAGATACCTTTGGTTAGCTTTTGTTTTATATACAAAGTACACCAAGTGTTGTCACAGCTCAGCCTATTCAGGACCAATTATGATTTTTTTTTATCTCTGTCATTCAGAGCCACACTAAGTGGGATTGTAATGTGGCAGTGGTATACTCTGACCAGTGCCAACATGACATAGGCCCTTTGACAAGCCAGACTTTGTGAACCATGTTTGATTCTTTCTTTACATCTATCACATAAATATAGAGGAAACCTCCATGAGAACAGGGAAATAGTGGAAAGCAGAGGAAATAGTGAAACCACTTGAGCCTGGCTGCACAAAAGCGAGCGAGGCATCTTCTTTCTGTAGGTTGCAGAGGGCGTGATTACACTCAGCTCAGGATAGGGCTCAGATTTCATGGCCACTTCACACTGCTTTTCTAAGTTAGGCTCAAAAACTGCTTTATGTTATACAAATCAACATGGGGGGGGTTCTTTATTTTTCTCTGGTTCTGGAGCTGGAACTCAGGGTCTGCATACTGTCCCTGAGCTTTTTATTACTCAAGGCTAGCATTTTATCACTTGAGCCACAGTTCCATTTCCAGCTTTTTTGGTAGTTAATTTGAGATAAGAGTCTCACAGACTTTCTTGCCTGGGCTAGCTTCAAACCGTGATCCTCAGATATCAGCCTCCTGAGTAGCTAGGATTATAGGTAGGAGCCTCTGACATGCAGCCTGATGCTTCTCTTTTATAACAAATATTGGTAGTGACTTTTTTTATTACCTTGAAATAAAATATATAGAGAAGGTGACTTGCCCCAAGATAAATGTTAAAGAAATGCCTACCCAGTAATGATGGTGATAAGATAAAAATAACTTTAAAATAAAAATAAGATATACTGCTTTGGAAAACCTGGGCCTTGAGTATAAGGCAAATCACTACCAGTGGTTTTGACTGGGGATGGACAATCTTAGGAAAATTTCAGGCTTCAATAGCCGTCATCTGTGGTAGAATTTTTTTTCTTTTTGCCAGTAACAGAATTTGAACTCAGGGCCTTAACACTAATGTTTGGTTTACTGTCTCAGCTGATGCCTTATTACTTGAGCTATGCCTCCAATCTAAGCTTTTACTGTTTATTTTGGAGGTTGAATCATGTGAACATTTGTTCTCAAGCTGGCTTCTAACCACAATTCTCTAGATCTCAGTCTAGCTAGAAAGTCTAGCTAGAAAGCTAGAATTAGAAGCATAAGGCATCAGGATCCAGCTATATCCTCAATTTTAATCGTCTCTGTATTAAATATTTAGCTCAGTTTTTCTGTTTTGTTTTATGCTTTTTTATCAATCTGAATTTATTTGCAAAAGATTTGTTACTTTTTTATTGAAAAATATTTTAAACTATTTTAGTAAGGGTCTGATTTCTAATTTATCTTCATTTATTTTCTATAGCATAATTATATATATTTCAAATAAACAGAATTTAATGCATAATAAGCTTATCTTCTCTATTTGGTTTTCTATAAACAAGCAGTTTACGTTATGAATTTGCTTTGGCTATAGTTCTTAATGCATCCTATATGTTTTTGTTTACATAATTTTCATTTCTTGTTAATTATCTGTTGATTATGTTATCCCACCCCCATCTGGTAAAATACTACTTTGAGAAAAAGAATGGCGATTTTGCAATTATTATGCCATTGAAATAGTTAAATGTAATGTTTCATTTATATATTTTTTATTTTAGCATTTGTTACACAGTATGTGCAAATTTTCATCTTAAAACTGTATTGATGTTTACTTTGTGCAAATGTTTTAAATGTTGGAACTAAAATTGTTGAGAAAGTCATGTTTTGTGTTGGCAGAGAACATTCATACGTCTTTTTCTTACTAAAAAATTTACAGGCTGAAGACATTGTTAGATCATCAGTAGAATGATAGCCTAGCACAAGTGAGGCCACAGGTTTAATTTCTAGAACTGTAGAAAGAAAAATTGCCTGGTAGTTTGTAAACTATTAGTCATGTAATAAACTCTCCCATAATACTTGTGTAGATGTTTCCAGTTTTTCTTTCACTAAGTGCTTTACTTGTCTTTTTTTCCTATATTAGTATTGAGTATTGATATTATATAATGACTGATATTCTAATTTTCCTTTTGCTTCAAAACTTTTTATTATTGCTTTAATTTAGACATGCTTTCCTGATTTTTTTTCTGACCTTCAATGGTGGACATTTATTATTTTTTAAAAATCAGGAAATTGCCATCTCTGATTTCCTCATGCTTTTCATTTTCTTTTATTTATTTATTTTTTGATTTTTTTATTGTGAAAATACTGTACAGAGGGGTTACAATTACATGGGCAAGATAATGAGTACATTTCTTATCAAGCATTGTAGCCTCCTCCTTTGTTTCCCCTTCCTATTCCTTCCCATCCTCCCCCCACCCCCCACTCAACCTTTCTCCCCCCTACCCCCACACACCAAAGTTGTAAAGTTCGTTTTCAACATAACAACTTGTACATCTCATTGTTGCAATAGGTCTACCTGTATCCCTATTTAACCGATTTGTTTTTTTCCCTTCCCCTCCACAAATTTTACCGACATCAAATACAGTGAAAGCAGGGATTATATCATGGGGGAGGGACATACAAACAACAAAGAAATAATCTTATAAATAAATGTGTTAGAAACAATCGCATGAAAGAAAAATAAACATTTGAATACATGTCTTAGGGTTCATTTCCCTAACATCAACTTATCTGACTTTTCTGCTTGACTCAGACATATACTAGATATTGCAAATAAGGGAAACCATGGGACGGACCTATGTTTCTTTGGGCCTGGCTTACTTCACTTAATATAATTTTTTCCAAGTCTTTCCATTTCCTAACAAATGGGGCAATGTCATTCTTTGCTTTCCTGATTTTTAAAACACATTCTTTTATCTTGAAATCAATTCCAATTTTTGCTTTTTTTTAAACAGCAAAAAATCAAATTGGGGCTTTTAATCAAACTGAGTCTTCACTGAGTACATAGCACACACTCAATGAAAAATGAATATATTACAATGACATTTATCCTTGCTTCATTCATTTTTATCTTTTGTTTTATTGTAGGTGGGCCATAAAACATGAAGGCACCAGTAAGCCAGGCCAATGGAAACATTCCAAAGTTGACAATCCTCTGTGGAACAAACTTACTTATATGTGGCCTGTCCTCCCCAATGGCCAGATCAATGAGGTAGTATGGGGGAGTATGAAACATGGTTATTGGTATTTGCTCTCAGGCTCACAGTATGGTCAGCCTTCTGAGAATTCCCATGTATTTTCCATGTACTTTTTGAATTACAGCACAAAAGATAAAACTTGGTAATTCTATAGTGTTTTAGAAAGATGTAATTAAGTCTTTCACCATGGAAACATATACTATATCTTCTTGCAATCCATCAAATTTTACTTTGTATATTTTGAAATATAGTTCTTAGGCACCAACACTCTCAAAATATTATTTCTCCTTGACAAATTCAATTTTTTATCATTATGTAGTCTTTCTAGTACTAACAAGTCTCAGTTATCTAGTATTCATAAAATATCCCAATGCTTTGGGTTATTAGTATATGTTCTCTATGTCCTTTTATTTTCTGATTTTGTATGTTCTGACTTGGAAGGATCCCCAATAACCAATAGTTATAAGATAGCCAACAGTTACCTTAAGAACTTTGTCTGACAACCTTTTCTCTAAACTATGGAATTAGTCTTTTCTATATATTGTAATTGCAGATATATTTAGATTATAATTTGCTTCCTATTTGTCTTGCCATTTCTGTTTCTCTATCTTTTTTAGTATTATTTTTTGGTTTTTATTGGCTTTTTCCCATTCACTACTTTTGAAAATATGCCCTCTGTTTACATTCTTTTGTTTGTTTCCTGAACATTTTAGTTGACAAAGATGAGTAATCAAAATGCAAAGTCATCTTCTCTCAAGTAACTAAGAATTTTAGAATAGTTAGCTTTAATCCTAAGATTTGTAAAAGAGGCTGTTATTACAATATGAGTTTACCTTTTAACTTATTTCCACAAGGTATGAATGTTGTGTGCAGTTGATGTATATTTACATTCATCCCCAAACTTTCCTTGTTATAATTAGTTTTTATATGTCAGTCTGTCCACCTAGGGTTACTTTCCTTCTTTGTGACACACCCTTCTTTTAATTGTTAGTGAGTGATAACGAATACTTTCAGTTCTTATAAAAAGAACTTCTTTCATTCAAGTCAGATATTTGTGCTTAGGTGACTAAATATATCACCCATGATTTCTCCTCCCATTTTGTCATGAAAAACTCAGCCATCATTCTAAATACTTTCACCTGAAAGTCATCTCAGCTGTCTTTTCTTTCTGGCTGTCTTTTATCTCTTTTTACTTTGATATTCTATGATTTCACCATAATATATTGAAGAGAAGATTTCTTCTTTATCTTGCTTCAGGTTTTCAGATTCTTTCCTGCATTTGGATCTGTGGATTGGAGAGATGGCTCAGGGAGCAGTCTGCTCTCTGGCTGGATGAATGGATGTGTCTGACATACAGGCTTTGTGGCGCTAGGGAGAGCCAGTGTGGATCCAGTGTAAACTAGGACAAAAGTCTGGAATTAACTTTTTAGTGTCTTAGACACTAAACAGGTGGCATTAATGTCAAACTATGTTTACCTCTTCCTGGTGACAACTGATCTGAGAACAGATTTCACTTTTAAATAGTATTCATCCCAGAAGTCAGCGGAAACTTTTACTCACAAGTAGTATTTCACATATCTGGAGACATCAATATTTAAAAAGATATTAAAGTTGTATAAAAACAAAAGATTAACGTATTCCCTTGGTTTCTTCTACAACTAAAATCACTGATGCATTTATAGGAGTGCTGAGGTATAGGCTCACACACTGGAGAAAAAGTTATGTCTTGAGCAGGTACAAATTTAAACAATTGAAGGTGAGCAGTAATGGATTTTCATAGTCAAGGATAGAATCACTGGAAAAGTTAGTTTGAAAAGGCTCAAACATTTGAAATGTGCTAGTGGGTAGTGATCTTAAAATTTCTAAATACTAAATTAATATTTGTGTCCTCAGGCTTCCCATGATGGACAAAAGAGAGGTAAAAGTATAGAATATATTGATCTGCTGAGGGATGGAGTTGCATCGTAGCCAAAGAGGACAAAATACTTTAAAGTGTCTGGTGAATCTAGGATAGCCAAAGTCCCTATATGTAGATCAGAAACCTTTACCAATGGGATATGGGTTTTGAAACTTTGTGTATGTTTAGAAATCCACTTTGAGTGGAAGGAGGAGGAAAAGTACATTCTTAAAAGCAAACCATGTATCTATGGATATGCTGGTGGGAGTAACTCACGTCTGTAATCCTCATTACCCAGGAAGCTGAGAACTGAGGATTACAGTTCAAAGCCAGCTAGAGCAGAACAGTCTGTGTGACTCTTAGCTCCAATTAACCAGCAAATACCAGAAGTAGAATTGTGGCTCAAGTGGTAGAGCATCACTTTTGAATGACAAAGCTAAGAAACAGCACCCAGGCCCCAAGTTCAAGTCCCAGTACTGGTACATACACATTTAAAATAACAGATGAAATAAGACCAACATAGTTAAAAAACCAAGGTCATTGTTTAAGAGGAGATCCCCCCAAACAAACACATGATGTCTTTGTTTACAACAAAGAAGTGAGGAAAAGAAGAACGATGCCATGAACATAGAGAAAAAAATCAGTAACAAAATGAATCAGAACATTCAAATTCCAGCTGAGAAGATGGAGGGGTAGAAGCTGCACTGTTGAAGCTTTAATTATCCATGGTTTTGTTCTTCATTATCCCAAGACTGAATTTCTCACAGTAAAAGTGCCTTCATTGTTAGGACAGGAACTAAAATATCTTAAAAGAAGAATTAACATTGGAGGCACATACATTTGAAAAGTTTTGAAGCCCAGCTAATTTTCATGTATTTGATTGAAGTTTTTATGATGACTCACACAGAAGACTTCTTAGGTTTGCTGAATGAATGATGCTAAAGTGAGTATATATCAACAATGGCTGCCTGTCAGGAGACAAGTTGGAGACAATAAGAGACGTGAAATCAGCTAGGGCCTAAGACAGTACAAGTCACACAAGTTCCTGGGAAACACAGGTGTGGGATATTGAAAAAAATCTTTGATCCATCTCTGGAGTGCATGAAATTGTCAGATTCAGACACTAAGTGTGGAAATCTGTTTCTCTTCCACGGTTTAAAAAGATGTATCAGTTATTTTATTGCGAAGCTTCAAAGTGGAAGTCATTTTAATGAGATTTTTCTCCCTCATTTCTCCCAATTATTTATTTAGCTTTTACTTGATCTCTCATGTCTAAAAATAGTACAAAAGTTGATTTGCTCTGAATCAAGTTGTAATGTTTGCAGAGTAGTTACAGACTGATCCCAAACTTGACTATTAGAAGTTCTATAACTCCACCCCACCCTGCTACCTCCTCTAACCTTAACTGTAACCTTTACACAATTTCATAGTGTCAGATGAAAACATCCAGTGATGTAACTTTTGTTACTTTTTCTCAATAACTATACTAATGGAAAAGAATGCCACATTGCTCCTTTCCTAGGCAATGGACACTTGATAGTTTAATTTGCAATTTCTACACAGGATACAGATCTTCAATGAAGAACAGGAATAAAATAAGTTTCTTTAAAACCAAGTTTTTTTTAAATTTAGGAGTAGAGTAAGCTAATCTCATTGTCATTGTATTAATTTTTTGCTATGCAAAATGTTACATTAAATACAGAAGGAAGAAGCATTAATCTGGAAAATACTCTCCTCACCTTTTCTGAACACTTATTTATATTGTTATTCCCTTAATTAAATGCAGTTGTTATTTACAAACCCATCTCACAAATTAGCACATCATAATGAGATGTCATTTCAGAATATTTACAATTCACAACTTTCAGATTTTGTTTATAGTTTATTTAAAACATGTGTTTTCAGTATAATTGCGAGATTGTTAAAATTGTTCTGTTTAAGGCTGGCTATACTAGCTTTGGGAAAAAATATATTCTCTTCCATACACAAACTAAGAGCTATGCATCTTCCTCTGCACTGGTCTACCATGCACCCCAACTCCCCAGTGGCAGTTAGCTTCATCTTTCTTGTGTTGATTGCATGCTCCCTAGGACTGCCTTTATTGTGGCCATGTTTTTGACTGCCTAACATGACTTCCCTCTTCTGTGGATATTGGCACCTATATCACCTTTAGGAAACTTCTCCCGCCTTTAATTTATGTTGGATGTCTTTTCTTAGATTCTTTCAGAATTATTTGAGGCTAATGGTACAGATGTTGTATTAGGGATTGGGGTAAGGAATGAATAGCTAAAGAAGGAGAGCCAATATGAGAACTATGACCATGCTGTCTTCCAAGAATCCATTGAAATGACAGTATCAGCAAGGTTTCTCTTGGGAGAGAAGAGGAAGAGTTTATGTATCACTTTCTAGCTGTTTTCTGTTAAAGGTTTGCTCCAGGTTGTAATAGAGTAACAGGTCAGAGATTCAATATAGCAGTCTAGCTCCAAAGCCCAAACACTTACCCATTTCAGAAGATATTGAGTCTGAGAGTTGCTGAGAGATTAAGACATTAAAGGCCTAGTACAAAATTTATACCAGTAAGTGTAATGGTTTAGAGGAATAAAATAATCAAATTGTTAGACAACAGCAATGTATCAAAAAGGCACCTTGGTAGCTTGGGGCCAATGGCTCACACCTGTAATTCTCAGGAGACTGATCACCATTGGAAGCCAGCCCAGGAAGAAAAGTCCCTGTGAGACTATTTTCTCCAATTAACCACTGAAAAACTGGAAGTGGTGCTGTGGATAAATGGTAGAGCACTATCCTTGAGCACAAAGAGGCTCAGGGACCCTGGCTCTGAAGCCCCACAACTGAAAAAAATAAAAAAGCATCTTGGTGAGACTGAAAGCCCATACTCCACTAACCTCCATACTACTTTCCAAAGTGGTTGAACAAGTTTACACTCCCACCAACAATGCATTAGGGCTACCAGCACAACTATGTTTATTGCAGCATTATTTACCAGAGCTAAGATATGGAACCAACCCAGATGCCCCTCAGTAGATGAATGGACCAAGAAAATGTGGTATATATACACAATGGAATTCTATGCCTCCATGAGAAAGAACGACATCACCCCATTTGTTAGGAAATGGAAAGACTTGGAAAAAATTATATTAAGTGAAGTAAGTCAGGTCCAAAGAAACATAGGTCCCATGGTTTCCCTTATTTGCAATAACTAGTATATGTCTGGGACAAGCAGAAAAGGTCAGATAAGATGATGTTAAGCTAAATGAACCCCAAGATAGAGACACAAGTGTTTTTTTCTTTCTTGCTATTGTTTCTAACATATATATATAAGGTACCATGTGATTTTTTTTTTGTTGCTTTGTATGTCCCTCCCTGATGGTATAACCCATTTTCAGTGTTTATGACGTTGGTATAATTTGGGGAGGGGAAAGGTAAAACAAATTGTTTAAATAGGGATATAGATTGACCTATTGCAACAATGAGATATACAAGACACTATGTCGAAAAATGAACTTTACAATTTAGGCGGAGGTGAGTGGAGGCTGGGGGGAAATGGTGGGTGGGGGCCGTAGCTGGGGAGGTGGGAGGGAAGGGATAGTAGGGGAAAAACAAAGGAGGAGGCAACAATGAACAACCTTGCTCATGTAACTGTAACCCCTCTGAACAGTATTTTCACAATAAAAAATTAAAAAAAAAGAACTTGGGGCTGGGAAGGTGGCTCCGTGGTAGAGCGCTTGCCTTGCATGCATGAGGCCCTGGGTTCGATTCCAAAAAAAAAAGAACTCCATGGCTTAGTAACTTTATTATCAAATTTGACTAAACATATAACAAGGAAACATTTCAGAATATGAAAAAGCCAAATTGTTTTCCAACTGTAACGAGACTAGGGATTCCTTGTTAGTGACCTTAATGGAAGATAGTGCACAAGGAATATATGACTGTGTATATAAAAGCCTTTAAAATTATGAAGGCAGTAATCTCTAGAAAAGATAAAGCATCATGACTGATTTGAATACATGTTGGTCAATATTTAAATAGAAATGGAAGATTTAAAAAATTTTAAATCAACTTGTGTGATTAGCAGATGATGAAGTGTAAGCAATGAAAGTTGCTGTGTGGCTCAGTAGTAGAGTACCTACCTACCTAGTAAGCATGAGTCTCTGAGTTCAAAGCTCAGTACTGAAAAAGAAATATAAATAGTCATGTAAATATAACTTACTAAATACAGGGCAAAATCTATATATGATTCGATTGTCTAGAAAAAAATATTTCAGTGCTTTGGATTATAGCTCCGTACTGTATCACTGAATTATCACTCTAGCCCCACACAACAAGCAGGCAAGAACAAACTTAACTAATTTAAATTTCCTTAACTTGATATAGAGCATTTATGCTCCAAACAAACTTCTAAAACTAATCAAATTGATTCTTAAGTGTTAAGATACTTGCTTTACCTGATATCAAGACTCAGCACATATAAAACTGCTGTAATGCAGCATTGTGGTACTGTACAGGAGGAAACGAACTGCTACCCTGGAGAGAATAAAACACACAGAAATAAACCTATACTTGCATAGAATTAGGATATTTTTATTTTTATTTTATTTTATTGTGAAAATACTGTACAGAGGGGTTACAATTACATGGGCAAGATAATGAGTACATTTCTTATCAAGCATTGCAGCCTCTTCCTTTGTTTAGAATTGGGATATTTTTAAAGAGAGTCATTGCAGTTACTGGGATTGCTACAGAGTAGCTGTTCATTCAGATGGGAAAGGAAGAAAAGAAGACAGGAAGTGAGTGAGGAAGGAAGGGGGAGAAGGAAGGAAGAAAGAGAAGGAGGAAAGGAAGGGAAGAGGGAAAGAAGCAAGAAGGGAAGGAAGGAAGAAGGGGAAAGGGAAGAGGAAGGGAAAAGAAAGGATGGAAGGGCGAAGGAAAGAAGAAAAGAAAGAGAGGGAAGGAGCCCAGCGCCAGTGGCTCACACCTGTAATCTTTGCTTCTCAGGAGGCTGAGATCTGAGGATCGAGGTCCAAAGCCCGCCCAGGCAGGAAAGTCCATGAGACTCTTATCTCCAGTAAACCACCAGAAAACTGGAAGTGGTGCTGTGGCTCAAGTGGTGGAGCGCTAGCCTTGAGCTGAAGAGCTGAGGGACAGTGCCCAGGCCCAGAGTTCAAGCCCCATGACAAAAAAGAAAAAAAAAGAAAGAAAGGAAAAGAAAGAAAGGAAAGAGGGAAGGAAGAAAGGAAAGAAGGAAGGAGGGAAGAAAGGAGAGAAGCAAGGAAGGGAGGGAGGGAACATGGAAAGGGGGAAGGAAGGAACTTAGACCTTGCTTAAATATCATCTCTGCTTCCCTTTTCTCCATGTATTCTTCTTGCACAAGTGTCTGTCTCTGTAAGCAGCAATAGTCTCTGCCAAATTGCCCCAGCTGCTCAGGGAGCCACTGTGCCTTCCTCTGGCCTTCAAGTCTCATGTTTTATTCATTGGCAAAACTGATGTAAAAACTTCTAGCCAGCCTCTGAAGCACTAATTCTTTTTTTTTTTTTTTAGTTTTTGTTTTTTGTTTTATTTATAAATAGTTGTACAAAGGAGTTGCCATTTAGCAAAGCAATTTATTAATATAATGCGTCTTGATCAATGTCACCCTTTTCAACATTCTCATCCATGTTTTAACCCGCCCCTACCTGTACTTTTCTTAAGTTTGTAGAATATACATTGAATTCTTGTCGACTTTCTCTGCACCCTTCTCGTCTGCATTCACCCTTCTCTTTGTGACCCCAACTCTACCCCTTTCATGTACCCATTTCCTGGTGTTTATTTTGTTGGACTTTGACTTTGCCTTTCTACAGAATTACACTATTTGCGTTCTCCCTTGAATCTACTATAGTTCAGTTCATTTAATGAAGATAAATGTATTCTTAAATAAACAAAACTGACTTTGTTACTTGAAGACTATCTTCCTTTGTTAATTTAGTCACTTTAGTTGCTTCTTTATAGGTTCTTTTTCTGAAAATTAGTGAAACACTAATCAATGAATTATCTTACATGGCTGCATCACATTTCACAACTTATGACCCTACACTTACACTATTGTGATTGTCAGTTTATTTTTAGGTAACTTTCTAAAGTTTTCAAAAGTTCTCAAAATATAACTCTGTCCATAAATTTCTTCAGGAAGACTGTCTTGTCTGGTACATTGTTTTATTTTTGGTGACTAGTACTGTGCCTGGCAAATAATAAAGAATAAATATTTGGAAATGGATGAATTAACCATCATGTGAATGAATACCAAAAATGTATCTGAATTCTATAATAGAAACACCCAAAATTTGTTTAAGTTATTTCACTATTTTACTCTATTTGTTTAGAGGATGTTACTATATTCTCTAAATATAGTCTTGTAAAATAGATTGGGTTTATGGTAATGTCAGGCTTTTGTGAGAGGAGGTTCACTCATTTTTCTTTCCTTCACATTGGCTAAAGATACTTCACACATGAGTATAAAAGCATTCTAGGCTAGTTCAGTTCTGTTTTCACACAATGCTGCTTTCCTCAAAGGGAATAAATAATTTACAATTTGAATTATTTAAAAAGTTATTACTTTTAAGAAACAATTAAATTCACACTTTATGCAAATAAACCACTAACTTACATTGTCTAGAATAGCTTAGGTAGTCAGTACATATTTTGCTGAATGAATGAAATACTAACAGTATAAGCTGTGGGTTTGGTTATGTTTTAAGTCTAGACATGGCTCTACATGTGGCCCTCACATTTTGATATTTTCTTTCTGAAGGAGTTTGATTGGCCAATAGAAGGACTGCTTGTGCCCAACAGCCCTCCCATGAAGAAACCTATTTATAAGACCCTGGATCAGAAGGTCCCAGTGAAACTCAGAGTTCTGAGGAATGGAGACAAGGATAAAAACAGATCCCTTACTGTAATTGGTCCAGGCATGTCACCTGGATGGAAGACACAGTAAGGGCAATGCATTCATTCTTATTGTTAAATATATTTTCTAGTATATACAGATGTCTGCCTTGTTCATTGTGTTTTCTCTGGGGGACATTATATATTTATTTAAAAAGAAGGCTACTCTAGTGATATTTGAAGATGAAATTCGATGTGAAAATTAATTGTTTCTATGTCAGGAACTTAATTTGTTCTCTATGGATTAAGGCTACATATAAAAAGTAAGTTAGGGGGCTGGGAAGGTGGCTCAGTGGTAGAGCGCTTGCCTTGCATGCATGAGGCCCTGGGTTCAATTCTTCAGCAGCACATAAGCAAAAAGAAAAAAGCCGGAAGTGGTACTGTGGCTGAAGTGGTAGAGCGCTACCCTTGAGCTGAAGAGCTGAGGGATAGCGCCCAGGCCCAGAGTTCAGGCCCCACGACAGGACCCCTCCCCCCCAAAAAAAGTAAGTTAGAAATGAGTAACTGATTTAAAAAAAAACTTTTATGATTTATGTATATTTCAAAGTTGCACTTCTGATTGAGTTTTATTAATATATGTCAAAATAACTGAATTCACACACTGTTTCTTAAATATACCTTTGTGATTCTGAATTGAAGCTGCTATTATGCATCTTTGGAATACTTAGTGAACAATTATAGTTTCTAGAAAGTTTGTAGAAAAGCTTGTATCTACATTTTGGGCTTGGCATAGAATTAGTTAAAAAAAATCTTCCCAAATAGCCAGTATTTCTCTAGCATTTTAGAAAAATCACCTGCCCTAATTTCATCACATTTCATGACAAAGAATAATAGATCATTGAAAAGCTTTGATGGAAAGAATGAGTTAAATACATTGTTTCTTATATAATTACCACTGAGATTACCTCTTGACCTTTCTTCTGAGATATTTAGGATAGTCGAGGCTGCTGATAATAGTTTAATATTACTTTCTTCACATTGATTAAATATACTTCATACATCACTGAACAATGAGTAACATTCAGATTGGCTGTCCACGGAACTGCCTTGGAAGATGATAAAGTAAAAAATTAATCTTCAAAGTAAAGTCAAGCCTGAAATTGAAATCTGTGACGCATACATTTCATAATTAGCTCATTCTACTGGATATAAAACGTGAGGCCAGTGCCTCTAAAGCATGCATGACTTTTTTCTAAATACCCAAAGTCAACACATCATTTCTGTCTCTTTCTACATTTTGTTTTCTTATTCGACGTCAATTAGTTCAAAGTTATATATAGATAGCATTATATGAAGATCGCATTTTATCACATTAGTGTTTCAAAATGCCTGGTTCAGTCAAGGAATCCAACCATATTTTGAGAGGTTGGCGAATTTGAGCATCGTTGGTATGCTGGGCTTATGGAACAATTTGTCCTGAATGATCAAGTATTTAGAGATCAGAGAACTGCTTTGTTCTCCACATGAAGTAATTATTCCTGGATAACTAAGATACGCTGGCCTACACTTGACAGTCTAACTGTACTAGATATCATTTTTTTTCCTTACTGACTCAGAAAGCGTTGCACAGGACCATCCGAATCATTCTTCCCCTCCCCACCTAGAAGAATATAAATACTAGAAACAGAAGCTTTAAACAGGGAGCCTTGACTGTGAACTGCAGCAGGCTCTGTTGATTCCCTCCAGAGGGATTGTTCATATTGTCCTCAAGGAGAATGGTATCCCAGAGATAGGCGAAACAGAATCCCTCTTAGGCTGCTTTAAATAGATCCAGTAACATAGAAGTAGATTTTATTAAGTTCTGTTGAATTATATTTTGAGCACAATTCTTTTCTAGTATGATGTTGCCTTTCACTTATTTATTAATTCACTGTAAGAAGTATTGAGGGTTTGACACCATCATTTGTTCTTCCTTGGACAAGCCAGAGGATAATCAAATAGAATTGCTTACTATTACTTGATTATTACCCTTAGTGAATGACAAATGTTGCCAATTAATGCTAATAATAGCTGTCAACTCCATATAAATTGAGACATAACTTTTATGACACAGCAAATTACATCTTTCAATAGTATGATAAACTACATATAGAAAGTCTTAAAAGTGATATTTTAGAGTACTGTAAGAAGTGACTCTAGTAAACTTATTTTTAATAATTTCTCTATATTTTCATTATTAGTAATTTATGATACTTGGAACAACTCAAGATCCTTCATGTAGCTCTTAAAGCCCATTATGATTTATTTCCATATAATTCTCTGGCTTTGTTTCTTACCCACATTACCCTATCTCACTCTCAACCACCCCTACTTCCCATGTTGATAAGAAAAGTCCTTTGAGAATAATTTCAGATTTTATTTCTAGGTGTTACCCTGAACTTCACATTCTCTTTGTCCAAGTTAGGTGTAGCTGCTGATTGTCTAGGCCCCACCCCTTGCATAACACCAATGATTATGCTAGCTTATGTCTCCAGATGGAGAACCAGGAACATGTTATATACCTGCACATGTGTAATCTGTTATGGTGTGGTCATGGGAATGAAATACTTAGGTGTAGAGATACTATAAGCATGCAATTAAAGACCACTGATGGAGACTGGATTCCAAATCAGTGCTTATTGAATGAATGAATGATTATATTTGATTAATAGTTTTCATTTGATACAAATGCTAAAAATTCACACAGTAATTTTCTACTTTGAAAATGTGGATGGATGAATATTTCAGGGAAGCATCCTTTTCATAGTTATCATTTTTTCTGTTTGAAAATGTTTCAATTTGAATTAATAATAGAACTTTTATATGAATAAAACACTAAAAATAATGTCCTATTTGAGTTTCTTTTCAAAATTGATAAATTTACAACTCAGTGTTCAACATTATTAAAACAGGATTAGAATATTGAAAATATGTGATTTTACATAAATTATTCAGTATGTTCCTATAATATCATATTTAAGATATAACAAAGAAGTCTAATATTTAATTGTGTTAGATTTTGAGTCCTATTTTCTTAAGAAAGGCAGATTATTTTAGGCAAATCATGATAAATTAAGATCTTATAATTTTTCACACATTGAAACATGTTGAGAGATAATTGACAATGTATGCTAATGTAATCAAATCCTGGTTCATTTATTTCAGAAATGCTAACACTGAAAGGAAACAGAAAGTCTGGGTTAATAAAGACTCAGAAATAGAAATAAACCAGATTGAATTTCACCATCTTTTGGAGAGGTAAATATTCATATCCTAAATACAAAGGTATTTTTATTTGTATGCCTGAATGATTATATATAATGGATAATACATAATATATTTGACATAAGAAAAAGCTGTTAATATGATTCTAGTGATTGTAATCCATGATATATGTAAATTTTATGACTTTATGAGACCAATGCTAATTAAACATTTTCTGCCAAAATTCAATGTTTAGCAAGTTCCCTCTAGCTTTCTCAACTATTAATTCTGTAAATATAAGTGAATATCATTTAAAAATGCATTTCATTATTGCACAGTACCTTCCTTGGGTTTGTATTTGGTTGATTGTGGATGGTCAAGACACAGCTCTTTCTTGTCCAGATGCCCTGTTCTCTCATGAATGTCTGGGTGGTGTTGACATAAAGCCCCGTGGTGAACCAGCTCCTGCTGACACTCCTGTTCTCCGGGGCTCACAGTAGAATTAAGCAGTCCGTGTGGTTGCCAGTCCCAACACTGGGGATGAGAATCAGAGAACCTCATCTCTGGGGCTTTGCCTCCAGATAGCCCAAGTCCTAACTGCCTGCTGCATGCCTTGGCCATACTTTTTAGGTATAATATCTGATTATTCTATGGCGATGCCCCTGGGCATAGTGGCTTCCACTTTTAATTCCAGTTACTTTGGGAGGTGGAGATCAGAAGGACCATAATTCCAGGCCAGCCTAGGCAAAAATGTGAGGTCCTATCACAAAAACAACGAAATGCAAAAAGGACTTGAGTATGGTTCAAGCAGTAGAGAGCTTGCCTAGCAAGCACAACACCCAGAGTTCCCATATCAATGCTGACAAAAAGGAAAGGCAAAGGAAACATCTTCACGTAACTGACTCTTGCTGGTGGGCTAAAATCACCTCTAACTCACTCAGTATAAACAGCACACTGTAACATCAAATACATTTGGCAAGCAACTTTCACTTTCTTCTTCCGTAGGCTGGGCCATCACAACAGGACTGGTTAGGAAGTGCACGCTCTTCAGTAGCTCTACTAATCCACATTCTGCTTTATTACCTCTGACCCAGACTGGCCATAGAGGGTTCAGCCTCTGCTATCTCCAGCCCCTTTGTCAGCTCTCTAAAAGGCAGATCTAATAACCCACCACACATCTACTCTGATGTCTTCAGTAGCCTCCCGTTCTTCAGAAGCTAGAAGCCAGGTTCATTAGTCTGAAATCCCAAGTGCTTTCAAATTGGTCCTCTTTCTCTGCTCCATCTGGGTCTTCTGTTCTCCATATATTCATCTCTAGAACTTCTTGATGAATCCCCTGCATCTTTTAAGACCCAATCCAATGGTCACTTTCTTAAATAAGGTTTTCTGAGGAAAAAATAATTGTTTTCTCTGTTCTTAAAGCACATTGGCCAGGTGCCAATGCCAACATGGTACTATGAGTTACTCTGTGGCCTGTCTTTACTACTGATTAGATGGGTGGCTCTGATGGGAAGAGAGAAACTGTCTTTTGCCTCAGTATCCACAGAGCTTGTTTGGGAAAAATCAATGTTCAGAGTTTAACTAGATAATCATATCTCAAAAGGTGTTAAGTGGCTAGAGAGAACCCCTTTTGGTGGAGAGAGATGAAGAGCTACCTGGTGACTGATGTGATTTTAGTGGGGGAAAACATTTGGGTGTGAATCAAGAGGTAGAGCACCTGTCTAGCATGTGTGAAATCCTGAGCTTGAACCGGCGGTACTACCAACAAAATAAAACAAAATACAAACACAAAGCTTCAACAGAAAAAGCCAAGGAAGGGGCCTCAGATAGAAAAAAGGACAGGAACCAAAGGCACAGAAATAGAAAGATGTGGGTTCTTGGAGAATGAAAAGTCAATCACAGTGTCTGTCTGTCTCCTGGGCATCTTGGCACAGTGATAAGCAGTTTTTAACACTAGCCTTGAATCCTCACTCATAGCAACCTGGGAGGTAAGAAATGTAGGCTTAGAGAGGCCGAATGATTTCGAGTATCAGGACTCAGAGAGTCCCTCAATACCAGACTGATACTGATACTCAAAACAATCTGATGGCTCTTCACTGACTCACAGCCCTGCAAAAAAAAAAAAAAGTTAATGAACCGGGGTTTAATTTCTTTTATTTTTCTCTCCACTACTAGAAAGTTCCTTTATGCAAGGACAGTTTTTGTGTCTCTTACTACAGGTGCACTGAAACTTTAAATTTGCCTTCTGCAGCAAGGAGATTGTTTAATGAAAAGGGGAAGGAAATCTTTGCCCTGAAGGAGCTGCAAAGAGATGAACTGGTAATCATGTAAATTTCATGTTAATATATGAGTACAACCCAAGGGAAAAAACAGACTTCAGATGCTTCTTCTTCTTCTTTTCTCTCAGAATTAGCAAAACTCAGCACCCATCCAAAAGCAACATTAAGATCTAGTGTTGCTGAGACCTCCTGGGCCTCAGGCCTGCCCACTTCAGAGGGAAGTATACTTGTATACTTCACACTTTACAGACAGTTTACTCATGTAATTTACATTATGACCCATTAAGATAGATGATTTCTTCTCCACTCTAGAAAAAAAAGCAACAACTGCACAAGTATTCACCGCTTGTGATTTCTGCCTCTGAAGAATTATTCTCTAATCTTAAAAAAAAATCTTATTCAGTAAAGCATGGTCCTTTTCTGTTTTTAAGGTCTACACAATATAGTTGCTTTAAGGTTTTTGTTTTTTTTTTTTTTACTAAATAACAATTCCACTTTTTTCAGGAAAAATTGAATTTAACTTCCCATATACTCTCTCTCTTTTTTTTGTCTGTTTGTTTGAGACAAGGCCTCACCAGGCTGGCCTTGAAGTTTCAATCCTCCTGCCTCATCCTCATTTGGTCTGGGATCACAAATGTGCATTCCCATGCTTGACTTTCAAATACTATTTGGGTGGCTAAAGAAAGTTGGGAGATGGAAGGACTTTAGAAGCCCACTCTTTTCTCTAATTTAGGGAATTTGGGGCATCAGCTTGGAGAGAAATCACCTTCCTTGACTGAGGATGTCATTCCTTGAATAGAGAATAAAACTCATATCAGATGATCAGAACTCAGGCTTTGAGTATAAGATCACTTGAGAGTCTTAAATCCAGGTCTCAGTGATCAATATCAGAGGCATCATGCAGGTGGAGATGTGTTTGGAAGTTGATAGACTTATTTATTGTTGGTCCTATGTTATCACTTCTAAGTCATTTGTCCTGAACCTTTTCAGTATGTGCTACCATGATCATTCACTGTGATCAATTTAAGGCAAACTGTATTAATACAGACAATAACAACAGAAACTTAATCTAAAGGTAAATACAGATGTCAGGCTCTGGGATGATGGAAATATGGTTGTGAATTAAAATGGGGTTGCGTTAATTCTGAATTTGATAGAAGTTAGCCTGTCACCTTCAGAACAACCAGCTCGAAGTCTGAAAGGTGAACATTTGCATGATTTGGTATGTCCATTAAGGAACAAGAATCCTGCTGTTCAAGAAGAGGAAATAATAAAGCAAGTTATAACAACAAGTGCATGATGATCAGAAAAGCAGGGCTGGGTTTCTTTCTGTATTTCTCACCTTTAAAGAGATAGTACTCACTTAAAAATATTTAAGAAATATGGATTCGAGAATTGAAGAGGGAAAAAAATTTCATCCATAATCACATCCTCCAGAAACACCCACATTAATATTTTTGTATTTATACTGCAAATACATGTATGCCAGGGGGTTATACATTTTTTTTTGGTAAAGAGTAAATATCTTATGTTTGTGAGCCATATCATCTCTATTGAAACACCAGTTCTATTATGGGGGCATGAAAGCAGCCATGGACCACATGCAATTGAATGGACATAGCTATGTGCCAATAAAACTTTATAAAAAAAAACAAGCAACAGCCCAAAGTTGGCTGATAGTCACAGTTTGCTAACCCTTGATTACACCTGCATTTCAATCCTTCCTTCTTTCCTTCCCTCCCCCTCTTTCCTTGAAACTTGTTTTTTAAAACGTTTTGTTTTTAATGCTATTTTAAAAATCTACAAATGATTGTGCAATTTATGTGCACAGAACGCCTTGATCAGATCACCTGTTACATTATTCCCTTCCTCATCCTTACTCTCCCCCATCTATACCAATTCCATCACATATACCACTTCTTTTATTTCTCCTGGGCATTAAGTACTTTGAAAGTATTTATCCACCATTCACTTTTCTATTTTTCCACCACTCTCACTAACCACAGTGTCACAAACTTGCTTTACTAGTTCTTCTTGAAGAGCAGGTCTCTTGTTCACTAATGGACATACCAAATCATGCAACTATCCACCTTTCAGACTTCATGCTGCTTGCTCAGAAGGTGACAGGCTAACTTCTAGCAAATATAGGATTACCCTGGCCCCATTTTAATTCACAACCATACGTCCATCATCCCAGTTTTTTACATCTGTACATTTCAGGTTCTTGATGAATTTTACATCCACTGGAGTTGCAGACAAGAATATGAACTTCTTTTAACTCAGAACAAAATCCTTGAAACCCATCATATTTGATGCCTTTGTCGATACTTATTTCCTTTTTCTTACTGAGAGGTATTCCATGGTACCGCAGGTACTTTGATTATTGTGATGATCTCCAGCTTTGGCTGTTACAAATAACATTGCTGTGATCTGTTGTATCCAGGATCAGAGACTCCTCTCTCCCATAGGTATACGTCTCCTGTGGAGAACAATGGATCAATCCTGACCTCTCCATTGCCCAGCAAAAGAAGCAAATCTTCCTCAGGAATTTAGCATCTGACATTTCCAAAATTCAAGCCTTCTGCTCTTCGCGCAAGGTAGAAGGTGAGCACTGAAATTACTTTTCTGTAATATAGCAGCTAAATGTAAACACTTGTCTCCGGAGAAAGGAAAGGATAGCGCTATCGATTTCCTTAGGCTCCCTTGGACTCTGGGGGCTGAAATCACTCCCTGGTCATCTCTGTAGTCTTTAGACAGGCACCTCTCTGTGCCTGGTAAGCTCTTCTAAAAAGTTCCCCAGCAAGTTTCTCCATAAATCTTCAGAAACCAGATCCAGGGTTATGTGACCGTGCCTCAGGAAGCAACTGTGTCATTGTGTTTGGAACAAGGTGCCCATTCCCTTGAGCAACTGAGATACTCACAGTGATACCAGTATGGAGAAGGAGGATTACCTGTGTTTGTTCTTCTGTTTTTTTTTCTTCTTCCTCAAACGCCCCCCGGACCAGACATAGAGACTTTTCTCTAAGTTACTAGGGATGGCAGAGCCAAAGCGTTTTGGAAGAATCACAAATCACGACTGTATCATATTGTCTCGTTGTGGTGTGATGTTTGTTTAAAAAAAACACACACAAAAAAACTTTCTTTAGACTTTTGCTTTCCTCTCGTGGTTTCTCTCATTTCCATGTGCTCCTTTCCTTCATTTAGACTGAGGAAAAATAAAAAATTTAAATTAAACAGTACCCCATTCCATCTGGTGAACACTCTACAGTAAAGTTTTACATATGCCTTTCAAGACATGGAGACTTTCATTGATGAGTTTGAATCTCAGAGAATGATCTAGAGACATACATGTAAATAATGTAACAATTTGAGTAGTTGGAAGATGGAATAATTAACTTATCTTTGGAAAGACCTATTTTTAGTACTTTTGACTAAGAATATCTGAGAGAAAAGACTCTACAGGCATTGAATTAAGTGAAATCCAACTTCTTACTTTAAAGAGTAAACCAACAAATAGATCAAATGGCTGGAAATAGTTTGTGCTTGTGTTTAGCATATGTTTTTAAATTCCCAGGGTTCCACCATCAAACTAATAATATGTCCTTGCAATTTGTGTATTTCGGTTCAGCTCTTGTTTTAGAAGTCCAAAGTGACATTGTGTCTGGAAGCAAGCTTGCTGCGCATAAACTTAGAGCAACTTTTGGAGAAGAGAAGCAACTTGAACAACCAGAGGGAAAACAAATGCAAAATGATGTTTTAACAGCAGAACATGCTTCCGGTGAAATTCTGTAAGTAATCAGCCTAACCAGAAAAGCTTCCAGGCTCCTTTGTGAAGTCAGCTCATTCTGAGCCTGATAACAGTCTAGAGCCCATGCAGGAAACTCGTGCCCTGTTTCTGAAAAGGATGTCAGGAGCAGAACAGAATTTAATTAGTTTCTGACAAATGGACACACTTGAAGCTTCAACCATCACAGTGATCGATCTGCTTTCAGTAACTTTTTAAGTTATTTTTTTACATCACAAATTATTTATGTTTTAAATTTAATTTTATTGTAAGGGTGTCAGAGGAATGACAGTTACACAAGTAAGGTAATGAGTACATTTTTTTTGTCGAACATTGTTACCTCCTCCTTTGTTTTTCCCTCCTTCCCTCCCCCTGTACTCTTCTCCCTGCCTAAGTTATAAAGTTCATTTCCAACATGGTGTCAGGTGAGTATCACTGTTGCATTGGTTCACTTTGTCTTTTGTTTCACCATTGTTATTCCTTTCCCTTCCCCAATGTATATAGAAGACACAGGGTGCCGAAATAAAAAAAAAAACAAAAACAGTAACAGTAGGGGATAAACCAAAGGAAAGAAAAAGAAAGAAAAAAGAAATAACTTTACACTGTACATTAAAAGCAAAACAAAGAAACAAAAACCTCTCTTTATTCCGTTATCTTAGAGCTCATTTCGATTAGCATCATTTTGTATGGGCATATGTACACAGTTACATTTTTATTATTATTTTTAAAGAAACTAGAATCTTCCCTTAGTAAACATTGACCTTGGGAACCATTCAGCTTCTCTCCTAACAAATGTCCAAGGTAGATGCATATTAATGCATACTTATCATTCTGACTCATTGAAATCCTTTTCTGATTCATCTCTGTATCTATAATTTCCTCCTCCCAAGTCACCTCTAAGCTCCATCAGTGGAAAGTTATCTTTATAATACACAACCTTTTTTTCTGTAGACTCTGTCTCTGGATAGGTCTGCACAAGTTAGGCAAGTGCTCTTATCACTGAGTCACATCCCCTGTATTTATAAAGTTTTCTATGTCTATCTTTTGCAGACAGACAAAAGAGTCCGGTATTCTAGTCCCACATCATTGTCTTTCATTGGCTCTCATTTGCACCTCTTGTCCACTTCCCCTTCATACTTTGCTTCCTGAATCATGAACTCCAGTGTCTAGCTTAGCAATAAGCTATTGCCTGAAGGTGGGATATTCCATTTATGTTCTCTTACAAGGCTCTGAGCCTCATTCTATTTTTTTCAACTCAAAATAATTTTATTTTCTTCATATACTTAAAATAATTTTACTTTCTTCATATACTTCATCAAATCAATGGACTCTTCACTGAAATCAACTTGAGCAAACATTATACTGAGCCATGCTCCTTCAGTCCCTGATCCTCTTACCCCATCTACCATGCTGCTTAAGAACTATGTCACAGGTGCTCTGTGCGTGGTGGTAGTGGTGGGGGGAAGGGATGGTAGGGGAAAAACAAAGGAGGAGGCAACAATGCTGGATAAGAAACGTACTCATTACCTTGCTCATGTAACTGTAACCCCTTTGTACTGTATTTTCACAAGAAAAAACTTAATTAAAAAAAGAATAGACTAACTGGCTCTAAGTAAGTAGAGGGATAAGTGAGTGTATTTCCAAAGTATACAAAGAAAAATACCAGGTCAGTTACATTGCAATAACTGCAAGAATTTAGTATTGTTACAAACTTACAAAAAATACCTTCTCATGTCTGTACTTCTAGCTGTTCAGGAGGCTGAGATCTGAGGACTGCAGTTTGAAATCAGCTTATGTAAAAAAAATCCATGTCATTCTAATCTCCAGCTAACAACAACAGCAACAAAAAACAATAGAGTGGAAGTGGTAGAGTACCAGCTTTGAGTGGACCAAGCTTGGGAACAGTATCCAAGCCCTGAGTTTAAGCCCTAGTACTGGTATACACCACACACACACACACACACACACACACACACACACACACACACACACACTATCTTCAGTTATAAGATTATTAACTTTTATTTTAGAAAACACACTTCCTAGCTTTGGTGAGTGGTTCATTGATCCTGTCTTGACACCACCAATGGCACCTGAGGGCATTTTTTTCAAGGAATAATTCTTTGTCATAACTCCTACAATAGTTAGGGAATTAGCCACGAATTTTCCTAATATCCCTTTTTGTTCTGTGAGGTATATCATCTGGCCCTTGACTTATTAGTCTGCATATAGACAAAAAATACAGAAAAATAAGAAAAAAGGAAACATTTTTTATACCTTTTCCTAAGCATTCCTGGCCAGCTCTCTCACTCCATCTTCTTCTAGAATGTTTCCAGTAACAAGGAGATCATTACTCCAAAGGGCATCTAACTCTAATACTTAAGTAGTTAATGAGAGAGAACATCTCCACCCCAAGGTTTATCTGTTTCACTGCCTTGTGCTCTAGTCATCTTCTGCTTGATAGCTCCCACATCCTTATTATCAGTATACCAGGGGCTCTTCCCTCAGGCTCACTTTTAATAGTGCCATGAATGATTTCAGTGGGCATCATATATTAGAAAGTCACTCAGATTGCCCCAGAATTCCCTAAACAGGTTTGGAAGATTTTGCATATTGAGGATTGGGATGATTTAAGGAGGAATGTCTATAACATAATCAGGAAGAACTTAAATCTAGAGGGATGATTTTAACTACTACGTACCTATGTAAAGATGCTTGGTATAAATCCCTAAGAAGCACAATGGGGAAAAGTGAATGCTCGGAAAGCATTGATTTTTTGCTCTATGTAAAGACCTTTCAGATCACAGGGGAACTTGGGGGAAATTTTTGCTTTTCCTTGCCAATTTGTAGGGTAGGCCTGACCCACCTCTTAGGGTCTTGTCCAGTACCACCTACCCCTGCATACTCACACCACATACCCTTCACACTAATGTCTTATTGTTCTTCAGTTGGCCAAAAGTCCAAATGATTCAGAGCCCTTCCATTTGTTCTTTACTCTGTTCTTGCTGTGGATTCTCACATAGCTGGCTGCTTCCCTTTGACCAAATTTCAATTTGCATATGCACTCATAGAGACTTTTCTGACTCCATTACTAAAATAGACCATGTCTCATTCCAGTGAATTTCTATTGTAATATTTTGCTTTATTGAGCATATAGCACTTACTTGATTATTTATGGATTTGTCTGTTTTCTCTCTCTTCCCATTAGAACATTTGAAATCCAAAGCACTTATTTTATTCATTACTCTATGCTAACACATATAAGTCTGTGCCTGACATATAATAATGGCCCAATAAATAATGTTAAAGGAATGAATAGCTTTCAGATGGATGATGATTTCCATGAGCAAATTAATTAATGAATAAATCAAGGTGGATTGCTAAAAGTGTTCTGAAATTGACTTAATGAGAGTTCACTTGACAGGGAGCTTAGGAGCTGATAGATAAGTTCTAAGTAAGAAAAGGGAAATCCTGGATATAAGGGAAAGAGCTTGTCTACATCTTGCCAACTTCAAAACCAAGATGACACTTTTTTTCTTTTCCTCTAAGAAATAGTTGGTGGGAAAGTTGTGTTTCTCATTTAGGACACAAGGTGGCAGTCTTGCTTTTCAACTGTTAGGGAGATTCTTGCTCTTTCTGCAAGAGCAGAAAAAGTGGTTACTTTGTTTCATAGCCACATGCAACACTGCTATTAATGTTACGGATGTGTACAATCATCTCTGCTAATGCAGGACTTGTCCTTGAAGATTTTCATAATTTGATATTGCTTGCAGTTGCATAAAAAGATCACTAGACCTTGAGGATCACAGTCTGTCCCAGAGAGCTTTATTTACAAGTATGCATGTTTAGAGTGCTGAAATACTCTTGCTGCTTTGCTTATGCATGTATCTCATTTTTCATATTATGTCAAGGTATCACTCAAAGCAAATGTGCTCTAAACAATGGTCTATAACTTAATGTACATGGATCCATATGGTGTTTACTGCTCTGGGTCATCTTTGTTGTAAAAAGAAGCCAGAAGTCTGGCTCAATTATTCCACTTGCGACTATTTGTTGTGATGCTGTAGTATATTGTTGTCTCTTAAAATCTGGCAGGTATGTGAAGATGCTATTTGAGTCTCTAGATTCCTGTACTGAGGGGGAAAGGTTAATTTTATTTAATATCAAGTAAGCTTTATGGAACCTAGTCATTTTGGCTACATTTTCCAGATAGAAATATGACCTACTTATGAGGTAGTAGGAGGAGTCTTTACATGTTTACGATGGCTTCTCAAGTGATCTTAATCTTTATCACTTTTGAAATGTAATACATAGCCTCATTTTTCTAAATCATAATAACAAACATGAATGCCATATTTTATATGCCTGAGGGATTTTATTTGTAGCTTTCTAAGTAAGAGATTTAAATTATGTAATAGACAGATGTGGATTTCTAAAGTTAGGCATTCCTTTGGAAATACAGTTTATAGATCCACCGGCATCCTATGAGCTCTGATCAGATTGTTTCACAGAAAATGTGCTTAGACTTGTGTTTGCATCTGGCTTGATAGAGATTCACATGCCAGAGCTCATCTCCGAATGGCAGCACTTCACCCGCTGCTCAGGTATGCCTGGCAGGGCACTTCCTGCGGCTCTCAGGAGGACCACATTCTTCCGAAGAAAGTGGAAGAAAAGCCCTTCGAAAAACTAAAACCACAAAAGGGAGACAGGTAAAAAAGTTGCAAAAGATTCTTTCTTAGGCGTTTTCACTACTGTTGGCTACTATTGACACACAGGTGCACATTTTTGTCTTATGTTTTCATTAAACATATTTGTAAATATTGGTGAGAAGGTTCTCTTCCCTTTAGCGAGCTCATTTTGTGCAGTGTAGTATAATTTCTTGCTTTCTTGTTAGTCTTCAAATTTTTAAAATTCATTTTTAAGTAGCTGCACAAAAGAGGGGTCATTTAGCAAAGCAGTTTATGAATGCAATACATCCTGATCCATGTCACCACCTTCAACATTCTCACTCAACCCCTATCCATTCATTCCTTCACTCTTCTAAAGTTTGCAGGATATACATTGAATTCTTGAATGCATTCACCCACCTCTTCTCCTCTTCATCTTTCTACCTCTTTCCCCTGGACCCTACGCCCAATCCTTTTACTACTTCCACATTTGCCTTAGTAGGAGAACTTAGAATAAAGCTGACATATTTGTTGAATAACTATATGAATGAAATTATAAACAAGCATGTGCTATACTTTAATGATCTTAAGAAAATACTGAGGGGCTGGGAAGTTGGCTCAGTGGTAGAGCACTTGCCTTGCATGCATGAGGCCCTGGGTTTGATTCCTCAGCACCATGTAAGCAAAAAGAAAAAAGCTGGAAGTGGTGCTGTGGCTCAAGTGATAGAGCGCTAGCCTTGAGCTGAAGAGCTGAGGGACAGCACCCAGGCCCAGAGTTCAGGCCTCACAACCGAACCAAAAAAAAATATTGAAATACAATTCTTCTTTTTCTAATTTTATTATTTTCTAGCCAACATTCAGGGGAATGAGAGAAATCTAGACAGTACTGCATAGTATTAAGCATTAGTTCATAGTGTTAGTCATTTGCTTAATAGTGTAGTGGTTTCTGAATTATGTTAAGCCAGCTTAGCATTTTTAGCAGCTAGCATTAGACCATGCACATAGTAGGGGCTGAATAGAGTTCTATAGATTAATTTAATTGGCAAGGTATTGTGGTATTTAACATAATTAGTAACTTCGCTTAATGCATTAAGATCATTAAGAGAACTTACTAGCCTTTTAGCTTGACTTTACTTTGTGTTATGATACTTCATGATTTGTTAGGAGACCGTGGTATCCTATTTACTAGGTATATTGTAGAAAGCAAATAGAAAAAAATCATAGTTTGAGTTCAACCCCTTTATTTCTCTTTTTACTTTTTATGCCCTTGTTTTTTTGAATTTCATTTTTTCTTTAAATGCTTCCTCTTCTGGACTTTTAAATTCTGATGAATTTTGTAAATGTTTCCTTAAACACCTTTGTTTCTGTTACAAAATAAATCCATACTTCTGAGCTTTACATCAACTATTAGATGTTAACAGCCTTGCTATTGTTCCAATACTGGGAGAATTTACCATCCCAGTGCCCCTAGTGTGCATGCCATTTTTTTCTTCCACTAACAGACTTTTCTTTGTCTCAGCAATTCCCCAAAGTATAGTAAATTGATGAAGGCCTACCGTCAACAGTTTGAATATAGAGATGGACAAATTATAAGCCATGCTCTGTCTCGGTTGGTCGTGGGAGTACAGGGTCCTGACCTCCGTTCAGGCATGGAAGTGGTTTTGATGGCGAAGAAATCGGATGATAATCGTCAACGCTGGATACACAAGGAAGACAGCAGGTAAACCCACTGCATTTGAAGGTTAATATGTCAAAACTTGAATAAGAGCCTAACAGTTCCTTTTCAAGAAGAGAGATAATTGAGGCTTTGTATTTTTCTGTCTGATTTAACTAGAGAGAAAGAAAAAGAGAGAGATGGAAAGATTCTACATACAATCACTCTTCTAATAATCTGCCATTGGTACAGAAATTTACTTGGCCATTAGATACAAGATTACATGCTCCCCTAATACAGCTTTCTGATTTGAAACAATAAATTTAAAACACTTCCAATTAAAAAATTTCCCCATAAACTCAATCCCTGTTAGTCCTTCCCCTCCCCAGGTCTTCGCTACTTCCTTAGCTTTCATAAAAATAACCAACTGACATGACTTCTAATCACATGGTAAAAACCAATTCTTTGGGAAATACATCAACTTAAGTGAATGTCTCTCACCCTGGATACAGTTTTAAACCATCTGCTGTCAATTTTTTAAACCCCTCTGCTGTACAGAGGGGTTACAGTTACATAAGTAAGGTAATAAGTACATTTTTTGTCAATCTTGTTACCCCTTCCCTCATTTTCCCCTACTTCCCCTCCCTTCCAACCCCCCCCCACGAGTTCTACAAATCATTTCCAACATATTGTCTTGTGTATGTCGCAGTTGCATTGGTTCCCCCTGTGTCCTTTGTCTCATTCAAAGACAGTCAAGAGAGATCTAAAACAGTCTAGCTAGCTGATGATATTATGAAAGTATGGATTTTGTTGGATATAATAATGGCTTAAGGATTCTGTTTTTCTTAAAAAAGAAGAAAGAAATAAAATTCCTGGTTAGCTGAGTAACATTGTACTATTCAGATAAAATCGAAAGGTGTTTTAGACTTGTTTGTGCATTTGTGCACAATTCTTCTTTCTGAGAAAGAGCTGTGATTTTCATTGCATGTTCTATAGCTCCATGTCCAAGGCCTGTGGATCTCTGCATTGAGAGAGACTGCATGGGCATTAGCAGGCCGTGGGCTCAGTGTGGGCAGGAGAGGGCTAGCTTTACCCTGTTCTTTTTCCTTGCCGCATGGATGGCGAGGAACACTTACTGGTCTTGTCTCAGGGAAGTTGGAGAACAGAATGTCCCAACAGAGCTGGTGAATGTATTCCTTTGCTCCATAACCTGGGGCTCTTTGCCCTGAGGAACTAGTAGAACAGCAGGCTTTTTTCTTTGCTTCCTGTGAATGGCTGGTTTTGGAAGGGACTGGAATTCAATTCATCTGCAGGAGCTTATAGAAAGTAGTGTTTTAGGAGCTGGTGGTTGTTGGGCAAGCAGGAAGCAACTTCTGACAAGTATGGGCATGCTACCATGCAAAGGGAATGGTGGTACTGGTTCAGCAACAGGCCAGGAGTTCATGGTGTCCATGTCATAGGGCAGTGCGCCGGGACTGCCAGGCAGTGGGGGACTGTGAGAGGCCCTGAGGCTGCACATCTGGCACCTGGTTGGAGCAGGGCTTCACTAGATGTGTTCATTCCTAACTGTGGATCTCATGCAGAAGTCAGAAAGGGCAGGAGAGCCCTGGCTTGCCATATTCTTCCAGCACTCTATGTTGAGAAAGCTTCACATGAGGGTCGTGTAAGAGTCATATATCCACATGGTAGAATTTGTCCGTAGCAGAGAGGCAGCCCGCTGGGAAGCAGCACAGAAGGAGGTTAAATCTGGTTCTGCTAGTTTGTAATGGAGTGAATCCTGTTTTCTCAAGGACCTTTCACCTGGTGAGTAACCCAGATCTGGTGCTGGCGGTCTCTATGATCAAGGCTCCGAATGAAGCCAGCGGCTATCCAGTTATTATTCAGGTAAGATGTGTATTGCAAGTGAGTAATCATAGCCCTTTAATGAAAGTGAAAGAGAGCTCCATGCCTCCTTGTTGTGGAGCCAAAAAATAGCTGTCATAGAATGCTATCTTGAATGTCATTGTTAAAATATTTATAACAGGCTGCCTAGATTTCAAATGGAGCATGTTGCTGTATCTCTCAATTTAGTTGAATCCAACAGATGGTGATTGTAGGCTTGCTTCAAGTTCAGCTTTGTGTTAGTTACTGAAATCAAAACCAATGTACGTAGGAGGAATTGTCCAGGCAGAATTCATGGGTTTACAGTCTTAGTGGTGGATGCAGTCAAGTGACTGCTCTTAGAGGCACCTAAATTTGATCATGGAAAACATCAGGACGCCTCCTTCCCCATACCTGGAAACTGAAGGGGGGAGATAATCTGATGAAGAAGGTCTATATTTTTGGAGGACATGAGTCCACATTGCTAATTCTACAAAGCAACTCACTTGCAGCATACTTTTAATAGGTTTTACAAGTGCTTATAGTCACAAATTTTTTTTTTTGAGAGACTCCAGAGAACTCTGGCTTTATTTAGTTTGGGGCAAAAACTTAGGAAACTCTTTTTCTTATTCATCTGGGATCCTCATATCTCAATCATGCATAAATAGACTTTTTTCTTTTCCAGCTTGGACATTAGAAACTTTAGGAGCATTTCTGCTCTACGTTTACTTTCTATGCCCTGCACAGCATTTTCTATCTTTTCGTTGAACAGAATAATTGTCTCCACATGGCATTTGTTTAATTTGTGTTTTTAATAGCATTGAAGCAACTTGTTTTGCAGCCCCTGAATCTGAAAGTGGGACATAGCAATCTGGACAAATACCAGAGCTTAATTAAATCTTCTGTCTTCACAATAAATAAGGGCTAAAAATGATGCTGAGAGACACAACATACATAACATTGCATTTTATTCTATCAGGTACCTCTTCAGCACAGACCACAATGAGATAAAATCACATACACATGCAAAAGTAATGCCTTAATCAGTTTTATAAAATGGCAATCAAGAATTCAATGTATATCCTACAAAATTAAGAAAAGTGAGGGAAGGGACGGGTTGGGAGGGATGGATGAGAATGTTGAAAGGAATGACATTGACCGAGGTGTGTTGAATTCATATACTACTTTGAAACTTGGAAACCCCTTTGTTCAACTACTGAATGAGGATTAAAATATTTAACATAAAATAAAATTGCAAAAATAAACAAGTAATATCTCAATCCATTTTTATACAATGTCTTTCCCTGAGGTTCTCATTTTGCAAGAACTAAATTTAACCTCAAGATTATTTGGATTACCTTTCACATTTTTCTTTTGTTAGTGTTTCATTTTGTTTTTTACTTATTGAAGCAATCAGTTTGTGAGAAAATAAAGTTGATATTAAAATAATAAAAATGATGCATGTTAATGTAATGCTGCCAGACCTTTATTTTCCTTGGAAATGCAGACTCTGCTTATAGACCTCTGAGGGAAGCTGATCCGTTTGTCTGATCCATTAGGTCAGTTCTTAGAACTCATTTATTTTCTTTTTTGCTTCTAATCGCTCACCTGGTAAAGTAGGTGCTATAAATTATAAAGTACCTTGAGGTGTCAGGATATATTTAGTTAGAATTTATGTATTGGCTAAAGGTCTGTTAAAACTATTTCTTTAGCCATACTTGAGACAACTTTTCTAATTAGAATAAATATCCTGTTCCTATTACAAATTTTAACTGAATATTCTTAGGAAAGAAAAATAACCTTGAATAACATCAGAGTAATTTAAATTAAAAATACAGAGTATGGAAATATTGTGGTAAAACCTCCCTTGTACAACTTACATGTAAACAAAAATTATTTTAATAATGAAAACATCAATGAAATACTATTTATTTAGCTTAGTAAACATTTAGGAAAACGTGCCATCCAGAAATATAAAAAAGTGGATAATTTCATACACAATTGGTGTAAGTATAAAGTAATATGTTCCTTTTAACCATTTGTTAGTGGTTCCTGCCTATAATCCTACATGAGATGAGAGGATCGAAGTTCAAATTCAGCCTGGGAAGAAAAATAAATCTTGGACTCATATTGCCAATTAACCAGCAAAAAGCTGGAACTGGAGTGTGAGGCCTGCCACTGTACTGGCAAAACAACAACAACAAAAAGATATTCTCTCTAGAAAGGATCCTGATGTAATATAGTCATTAGAAATGATTGTATTTTGATATTTTAGATATTTGTACTAAGAAATGATCATAGGCTAATATGGATATATTTGCACTATTATGTTTTATGTACTACAGGGAAATTTTAAGAAATAACTTGCATGCTGAATTATTAGCTATTAGTAAAATCACATATGTCTAAGATGAAATGATAGAAAATCTTTAGAAAAAGACATTTGCTAAGTGGAAAAAAAGTTGCCAACTTGCATCTATTTTGTGATTTTGCTTTTGCAAATCAACTGTGAATGTAAATGATGATATAATTGCCCAAATATCAATACTAGTCATTGCATAGTAGACTTATGAATAATTATTCATATTTTCTAAACTCATGAAAATTCTTGACTACTATGACTCTCATAAAATTACCTGTCTATTTCCTTACATATTTATCTCTTTTTGTTTCCAGAAATATAAGCCATATGAAAATGGAGCTGCCAATCAAAAGTGGCATTACAAGGAAAACATGAAAGCCTTTATGGCCTTCCAGAGCACTGCCCTGGATAAAGAAATCACATCAGCAAATTTTGCTGGCATATGCACATCATCTGTCATCAAAGAAAATATTGATCAACCAGTAAGTGATTTCCTCTTCCCAAAGATAAAAGAAAAAAATATAGGGTAATTTAATAAAGCAAGAAACATTTTTTCCTCAAAGGAAAACTTCTGTTCATACAAGTTGAACATTGTTCTTTCTTTGTTTCTTTTGGGACAAGGTGTTGCTATGTAGTCCAATGTGGCCTTAAACTTACCATCTTACTACCTCTGCCTTTTGGGTACAGGCATGTGTGACTATGCCCAGCTTCTGCACGGATTATTTTATGAAATCACATAGATGTTGTGATTCTAGTTAGGAAAGACTTAAGGAAAGCTCTGATCAATAAAATAAATTGATTAGTATTTAATGATTGTGAAATTATACTTCCATACATATTCCAAAATAGGGAGAGTAATACAATGAGTTTTCGTTTACCTATATACAAATTCAACTATTCCCAGACATGATATTGTTTTGCCTGAACATTAAGCTACTCTCTAAAAATTTTGAATGCGAACTATCATAACCTATATCATAGGTAACAAAATTAATAACTTTCTAGGTGTACACTATTCTATTCTTTTTTGTTGGTGGTGGTGGTCATGGGGCTTGAACTCGGCCTGGGCGCTGTCCCTCAGCTCTTCAGCTCAAGGCTAGCGCTCTACCACTTGAGCCACAGTGACACTTCTGGTTTCCTGGTGTTTATTGGAGAAGAGTTTCCTGCCCAGGCTGGCTTTGAACTGTGATCCTCAGATCTCAGCCTCCTGAGTAGCTAGGATTATAGGTGTGAGCTACCGACACCTAGCTGACTATTCTATTCTTAATCAAGTTTTCCATCTTGACCTAAAAATTCTTTTTATGGCTTGTTGGTTTGAATCAAGATTCAAGAAGTTACCCAGGTGACATCTGATTGTGTATTCTGGATCCCTTTTTTTTTTTTGTAGAATTTCCTAAATTTATTTATTTTCTTTCTCATTCCCATTCTTTGACTTGTTTCTCTATCCCCATAATTTTTGCAAATGGAAATTGAGCGCTAGAGTTGTAACTAAATTTTTGAGTAGCATTGTGGCTAGACCCTTCCTGGGTTTTCCTGTGTGTTTCATATGCAGCACTCTGCAAACAATGCCTAGGTTTTCCATTTTTAATGATATTAGTTGGTTCAGGTTACTTCAACCTCATCCCATATTAAAAAATTCATCAATAAGTTTTCTCCAAAGTCATAATTTCATTTAAAACGAGTCAATGTCATTTAACTGAGTTGTATTTCCCTTCACTTGTTAGTTGAACATTTAGTATAAGGAAAAACAGTACCTCATTAACTAGATGTCTGACTACCCCAAAATATAGTTTGTAGAGGAAAGTAGAATAAGTGTTCAAATGTTTAATTCTTTCCATCTGTTCCCATACCTATTGCAGTTTAACATACTAACTGAAAGTTTATTGACCTCTCTCTCTCTCTCTCTCTCTCTCTCTCTCTCTCTCTCTCTTTGTGGGCTAGCAGTATAGGCTGGGCTGATCTTACCTGGGCAATCCTGATGGTTTTGGCAAGGATCACAACTAATGTAACCCTGGTAGTTAATTGTTCGGTGGCTCTATGAGGACTAATCAAAGATGGCCTTCCTGACATACCCAGTGGCTGGCACATTGTTCACTGTGGACATTAGTTCTCCAACTTCTTAGTTTATCAAGGAAGCTACCTCAAGCTTGTTCATATTGTGGTTTTGAAGTTAATAGTGGTAGCTCATACTGAACAAACTGCAGAGTAAGTTCTTCTTACATTTGCTTGCCTGGCATTTGCTAGTGTTTGAGTCAAAGTAAGTCACATGACCTTGTCCATAGTCAAGGGAAAGAGATAAGGAGAAAAAGAAATCTTTACATCTTAGCATAGGAGCAGTAAAGTTACACTTCAAAATGGCACACAAGGGCTGGAGGCCTGGTCCAAATGGCAGAGTGTTTACCTGACAAGTGTGAAGCACTTAGTTCAAACTCCTGTACCATTAAAATATGTTTTTGGCCTGGTGCTGGTAACCCTAGCTACTTGGTGAGCTAAGAGCAGGATTTAAGAGCTGAAGAGCTCAAGGAAAGCCTGGCAGAAACACTTGATAGAGAATCTATCTCAAATATAACCAGGAAAAAGCAGGGCTGAGATACAGCTCAAATAGTAGAACATTAGCCTAACAAGTGCAGGGCCCTGAGTTCAAATCCCATTACTGTCTCCTCCCTTCATGGCATGCAAACAAGGTTGGAATGTTTTTATTGTGGGCATCTTTGGAAATAGTCTGCTACATTCTGTAATGGGCATATTTTCAGTTATAAATTGGTCCCAGTTTACTTATATGGTGTCCAGGGAGTTGTAGTTTTTCTTCTATTATTTTTACTTTTATTCATAGCATCATTCTGAACTCATGGGATTTTACATACACAATCAGTCAAAATGTTTCCTTTTTCTTGTCAGTTTCACACTGTCCCTCTTTGAGCCAGGAATACTTATTTGCCTGCTCTTGCATCTTTCTGACATGATTCCTTTATTTTGGGAGTCTCTTACTTACACTGTCGATTTCTTGCCCTAAATCTGGCCCTGCCAGATAACCTGATAGGTTATTGTCACTGACGTTAAAGTGTCGCTGCACTGTTTGGAAATACCTTCTTAAAACTACTATTATTAGGGAGTAAGAGATGCATTTATATTGTGGTTTCAAATTTGATGATGGACATGCATGGCTAATTATGTCATAGATGTACTATTGAAATGATATCATAATTCAGATGTTCCTATATAAGTGTCTTTGTTTCCCATGCTAGGGATATTACTATGTCTCTCCTGGTGAAAAGAGGAAAACAATGCTCTGCCTGGCTTGTGGAAGATGCATGAGAGCAGCGAAGGGTCTGAAACAGTTGCTTCCAGGAGTTCCATTCCTCTGTGCATCGGGCTCCAAAACGCAGAAGTCCTTATCTCCAGGGCCTTTCATGGTCATCAGTGCAGCAAAGGTATAGAATAGTCTTCGCCCAGCTAATGCATATTTGGCAACAGTAGGGAAACTTTTGGAAACTTAGATACATTCATTACCCATGCCTTCAGGATCATCTCCACTCAATTCGCCTACCTCAGATCCACCTTTACCATCCTTCTTGCATTGATTTCCTTTCTCCCATTGTAATCTAAAATACATAGTCTATTAATAGTTCGATCCACCCTTTGAAGTTAATTGGACATTTCTGCAGCTTCAATCTGCTGACACTTTCCACTGTTCTTGATGTGGCTTTGAGGAAGTAACTCTTTACTTACTGGGGCAGTTTTTCTGCTTATATCCACAGGGTCATCTCTGTTTTAGGTGTCTGGAGAGGTTCTGGAAGAACCCGATATGTTTTTGTTAATTTGCGGTGACTTTGGGTGTCTGAATTCACACTTCTATGCCTAATACTATTTAAGGCTCCGGGAGGAGAAGAATTAATCCATACCCTACCGCTTTCTCATGATCTTCATTCCAAATGGTCCCATTATTATTATTTTTTAATTGTGAGAAAGAACAGAGGAAACTTATATAGCCAAATAAAAGTGGATTCCTAAATGTGGGCAGCTTACCAGCCTGGTGTGCTGAGGACCTATTCCCAGATTGCCCTCCTCTTGGGCCTAATCTCATTCCATGTGGAGAGTGGAGCAGTAGCACACTGCTGTATGCATCAACTGAAACCATTACCCCAAAGGAGAAAGGGATCCATTCTTTGGGAAGCCTGAGGTCGAGAGCTGATTGGAGAGAATGTCCAGTGTT